CGCCCTTCTCATCCACTCCTCTCACTACAATTCTCCTCTTCCTAAGTCCTAAGTAAGACTGTCGTTGAGCGAGCTTGACGAGAGGGTTCTTGAGAGGCTACTTCTCAACGTTGCGGGGGAAATCCTCTGGACATTAAATTGATGGAACGAGCGCTAGGAGCGGGACTGGTGGTGAGCGTGTACCGTAAATGGTCGAGTGGAATGTGGTCGACCACGGCGATTGTCCTGGTCTAGCTTGAGATATTCCGACAGAGGACAGAGTCGGCCCATCCTCTGTATATTCAATTCCCCGTGCCAGAGAGTGATAGTGGCTTGTAAGGCTCCCAAATGGTTGAGGGCGGCCGCGGTACTGGATCTGACTTGGTCCCCGTCCAGTCGAGGACGGCCCGGTCCAAGAGTCAATCGGGTTACGTGTAGTAGGCTCTGTATTGCGAAATGGTCGAACAATCCTTCGAGTGTGCACATAGACTGCTGAGATTATCGCTGTAGACGGCAAGGTGAAACTCAAGACGATGACGAAGAGGTGGCCTCGGTGGACTTGAGCAGCGAGCTGGCCAAACGTCGTCTCATCGGTTCCTGGTGACCCAGCGGGCAGTACTGAATACAGTCTAGAGATGCAGCTTAGGTGTCGAGCGTATGATCCGTGATGATGATGTTTGAGTATAACGTTCAATCTATCGGGCGAAACGTGCAATGAGAAGGCGTTATTGGTGCTTGGACTGACCGCAGGAACGCATTGAGCGAGTCTCCGCGTGATCACATTCAAGAAAGCGTTTCTCACAACGGGAATGGAATCACACCAAACGAACACATTAGCTATAATCAACAGCTAGAGCCTAAGGCCCGTGTTTGTGTACTGTAGTATTGTCCTTCAGGTTCACTTGACTGAGCGAGCGAGGTTTCGCGATTTGATTGTGATTTCTTCGCTCTGCGAGCCCGACGCAATGATGATGGCAACAACAGCACTCGTCCTCAGATTCAGTTCCAAATTTCCAATGTTTACAACGAGTCCCATGCCCCAAAAAACGTTCGGGAACTCCGACGACAGCGTCATTCACCAAACCCACTCAATTCAAGCTACTCAGATGTTGTGAAGCCCTATGCATCATTCAGTGGGGCCGTCACGAGAGGGATCGGTGAGCGGGATTCCTCGCTTGGAAACGCGACCGTTCGACGCAGAAATAGATTTTGGGTCCACGCGCCCGGCGCCCGCAGTCGCTCTGCCGACACCGCACCGGACAACGCAACAGCGGTGTACTTAAGGGAGAAATTAGCACTCGAATCTTCTCCACCTCCCTCAAGACTAGAAGGACCTCAACGAAGAGACTTCTGAGATGGCTCAAACAACGGGTCGGGTCGCCGTGCCGTCACCACCGTCCGGGACGTCGTGCATCAACTATCGACCCGCTCCTAGCGTTGTCGTATGCACCGACTCCCAGCGGCTCAGCTTGGGGGACTGGGTGAGCATCTTGAGATCGACACTTGGTTCTCATTTTTCGAGTTCGCTGACCTCCCGTCTGTCATTGCGCCTGCAGACATCCTCCAGGCAGGCTTAGGACGTCAATAATGCCACCTTGCTCTGGCGAACTACTATCGGCCGGATGCCGCGTTCGCTTTCCGCCTACACTAGGTCGTGGTTCTCCGGTCTTTCGAGACCGGTTAACCCAACGTACCTCTTCGGGGCGATAAACAGGAGGACCAGGAGTTGAATAGAGACCGGATTGACCGGCTGGAAGACGCTCTGATAGAGTAGAACACACTACGTAGCTTGTTTTGGGGCTCGAAGAGACGCGTACCTCCTCGTGGTGGGCCCTGGTAACGCCCGACCTCTTAGCTTTTCTCAGAACTTTGGGGAAGACGGCTAGATCGCGTTCTCAGATGTACTGTGATCGAAAAATTCTGTATAATACAAAAGGACAAATTCTCTTCGGCTCCCTTTTCCCCGAGACTCGCGCAAGCTTCTGGGATGGAAAGGAATCGAAATGAATTCTGAGAACGAAGCCGCTTTGACGGCTTGTGACCGGAAAGAAAGTTTCCTAAACGTCCTGGTCACCTAAGTTTACTATCCCCCCGTAACTTGAGAACAAAAGAATCTTTGAAAGCGTGCAATCGAGCCTTAGAGTGATGACTCGCAGCTGGACTGCAGCTTTTTGCTGCATCAGGACGCTTGAGCTGAGGTCTTATATTTCGCGTACTCACGAACGCAAGGTCATCTTTCGCTCGGCAAGCTTCAACCGTGAGTTAACAATACTGATCGAGATCCGTGAGGTGGTCCGGCTATAGCAATCGGTGTGAAGACATCGGCCGCGACGTTCCGACGCGCACTATGAGGATCTCTGATCCGAGTGCGCGGGGCTAGATTGCGACTCTTGTCTCGTGCACGATAAACAGCCCAGCCATAATTAAGAGACGTAACTTAGGTAAACGGTACGGTCAGACCAAGGCGATGCAATACCAAGCTACAGGTACAGACGGGATACTATAGAAGGAATAGAAACACGATGACAGGCAGTGCTTGCGATGAAGAGTGCTGGTTGTGTGAGTATGTGTGAGTAAGTGGTGATGCCGGCTAGAGTGGGTGGGCTGGTTGGTCTACTAGCGGCAGAGAGCAAGAAGAAAAAGAGGAAGCCGAGAAGAAGAGAAAGAGAGAGGGTGAGAGAAAGAGAAAGAGATGAAACCACGGCCGTGCTTGACATAATCAGTGGCGTTTGGAACCCTAGCCCCTGCGTCTGAGGTCCTCGACGTCTATGGTCCACTTTGTCTTGTTCTGCTTAAGATATTGAATCCATTGCGAAAGACTCGATGTCTTGTTGGCTTTACTCTATATAGTCGAATTACTCTGGCAGCGTAAGGAATAGAGAAACCAGTTGACCATCTTACGTGGTTGTAAAACTCCTTCACGACGACATCGTTGAACTCCTTGACATCATAGGCTTTGCTTGCAAACCACTTGATCCAGCGCTGTCGATCCCATTCGGTGAAGATGCCCTGGGTCACCCGCGGCTTTTTCGATGACCCTCTCGCCTCGACGATCTTCAGCTCCGACCCGCCTGTCTCAGTCTCCTCCCTCCGACGCTTTCTTCCTTGATGTCCGCCCGTCTGAGCACGTCCTAGGCCTCCCGACGCTTTCTCCTCAGGACTAGAGACACCTCCAGCCGTCTCCAGCTTTCTCTTCTCCGCTCGGTCGGCACGACGCTTCGCGACCCATTGAGAACCTTCGTAAGATAACTCTTCTCCTTGCAGGACTCCGAGAGCGGTTTCTTCTTCCCCCCTCTCCAGCTTCCGGCAGATGAACTTCTCTCGCAATTGATGACGAACGTCGTGATAGGCAACAAGTATTGTGGGGTTCAGTGACAATTCGTTGCCCGACTTCTTCATGTCCTTGCGGGTAGCGCGTGGTGAGCAGTGAACGAGGAATCGTCGCTTTGGAGATCCGGCTGCAGCGAAATTTCATACTTCGATCCACGGCCTATGATAGGTTTGTAGTTAGGGGAGGCTTTCCCAGCGATGATGACCAACAGACTTACTCAACACCAGGCAGGAGATCTCCGATGTCCTGAACGACGTTTTCTGTGGTCTTCTTCGCTATGATTGACGAGCGGTAATCCACGACAAATGTGTGCCAAAGAAGCGGAACTAAATGATCAGGATGCTGAGGTTGAGGACGGGGTGTGGGACGGGGTGGGAGGTCCTTCGGCCAGACGATGTCACTGTCCATGGTCGGGGGCGATGGTACCCAAAGGAAGGGCGCGAGATGATGAGAGAGATGATGAGAGAAAGGAGGGGAGAACTCTTCCAGCGAGTTTTCTGAGTGGAAGAGAGAGTTTGAGGGCCATTACATCCTTTTCGCCACCTCAGATGATCGGCCGCGCTCGGCTCCGAATCGTTGCTTGGCACCACACAAAGGGGTTGGAGAGAGGCAACCTTGGCTCTTTGGAAGATGACATAATTCACAGCCCCGTGGATCTAAAAGAAGCTATTCGTCTCGGAGACGGCTTTCCGCAGCAGCTTCTCGGCACTGTCGCACGTAGAACAAGCCCGCGCCGGGGATAAGGCCAAGACGCGTCGAGCCAGCATTGATGCCCGTGTTGCCGATGCCGCAATAGTTCCCACAAACTATATCATAAAACCAACCAAACCTTAAAAATGCGGTCTATCAATTGACACTTAACAAATACGTTACAGCATCTGGCGAATTCAATGGTACACTGTTCAAGGCGTTGAGGAGACCCGATCTACTGTAGTGTTTCGTTAATACCGGAGCGCATGGGACACTGGGACAAACTTATTACCGGCGTAACCACACCGGAGGGACGGAGCAAGCCGCTGGGACAGCGGACAGCTTTTGACCGGAGCGGATGATCAAGTGTAATTTCCCCAAATTGGATAACATCGACGGCGGATTGAGACTCAGCAATCAGCCAAACTCACAACCAAGCTAAGAAATATGAGTTTGAGTATGTTTTAGAATGTTCAATAACACAGAACATGCAGAATATGGTCCGGTTCCTGATCTGGCAACTGGACCCTTACCGGTGGGGACACCCTGTCCCGACCGGCGGGACCGCCTGGGACCGGGGGACACCAAAAAAAATGACCGGACCGGATGGGGGGTTGGGACAGGGGACATCCGGTATTAACGAAACACTACAGTATCATCCTTTCTCATTTGTGATTTGTGGGGTTCCGTTCTAAACGTCTCGATGTAAGATCTTCTAACATATCGTGGAGAGATGCTAGCTGCACCAAGGCAAACGAAACATCAGCGTGGATGGTCGAGTCGGTGTAGGATAGGCGTCTGTCCAGGCGAGACCGACGACACGCGCCGTTTCCTCCTCGCTAATGAGGTAAGCATTCGATGCCCCTGGCTAAACGTTTAAATAAATTACCCTTAGCGAGCAGAGCCGGTACGGTGCCTCCATAAAAATGAGTAATCCATTTATCCAAACGACCCCCTTCAAATGTCCGTACCGACCAAAAAGCAAGGCGTGAGCCGATAGTAGACCCGGCAGGATTCGAACCTGCATTCGGTTAAGTGGAGTTCAACGATAGATGGCTTTGCCAGTTAAGCTACGGGTCTGACAGATTCTCTCCTAACAGTATCCTTCATGGTGCCTTTGCATGACCTTTGTCGGGAAACAATACGCATTCCCCACTCCGCGGTCCCAAACGCAACCCGAAAGGAGACCCCGCTGATGGGTGAGAGACCCATCTCAGAGACGAAAATAGGAAGGCGTGACTAGTAGTCGCGCGAAACACAACCTCAAGTCAGCGCTGCCTAGCGAATGATCAGGGTAGATTTGTGAACGTTACTATATCCAGCCCTATGCGCTTATTGAGGACCGGAACAAAGCTCGACGGGACACATTAAGCTTGAGCATTAGTCCCCAACTATCGCAAACGGCGGGTACGTCTATTCCTCATACAAACTCCGGGCATCATGAATGTGTACTGTCATGGAGCCTCTAATTCCCCGGTCTATGATGATTTAGTGGGACAGCCATTTTAAAAATATGATGAGAAGTCTCAGTCGAGAGCTGATCCGCGTGAAGAGATCCGGCAGGGCAAGCTCCACCGGACGTTCCACGTCGCGTACCGTGCGTCGATGTCGTCGTCGCTCTTCGAACTACGACCTACCGACAACTTGAGGCCAAGCATCATCATTGTTTCCTAGCTTACAGAGGATATGGTACACTAAATGCGGGAAATACAAGAAGAAAGAGTATTAGGGAATGAGATCGTAAATTGGAGGTGAGAGTAGAATGTGAAGAGAGAAATCAAGATCAATCTGGACCGATTCATACGAGGGGGGACAAAAACGTCATAAAAACAAGTGAGACAAAAGATCAGTAAGAGTGGGAGAGCAATGCACCCCGTGCGTGATGGACATAGGAGCTAGGGTCATGAACCTGAGTAGTCGCGGGTCCTGGTAGGCGAGGACGAAAGACCCACTGCTTCCAATATCAATATCAACAAGCAACTCGCAAGAGAGTACAAGACTTCGCACTCACTTGATCGGGATGATAAGGCGTCTCAGGGACGTTCGAGTCGTAAGAGTTCCTCTCCTCAAACGAGGGCTCCGTCGGCGAGCCCCAAGGATAAACAGCTGTCACAATCATAGCCACCGACTAAGTCAGCAGGAGATACGCGACTCGGAGACTCGACACAGCACTCACGGGGCAGGGGCATCGACGGTGTCGGTCCGCATCCAGCAAGATCGAACGGCGGCTTGTCCGAGAGCAAGTGCGCGTTATTGAATCGACGCAGACTCTCGGGAATCCATGGTCGCTCCGAACTTATCGAGGTAGAGGGCGGCGCACCATACCCCCATCCACCCGGCTGCTCCCCACTTCCTCCAGACGAAGCGCCAGCATAGTGGAAGCTCCCAGCCGCGCCGTCCTCCCGATCGCTGTCATCGTCGGAGTATTCTATCGCACGCCGCTTCCTAGATCTCTCTCCGTATGGCGAGCTCTCGGGCTTTCGACTTGCCGGGGCGCGGTCGACGATTCGCGGATCAAGGCGGTGTGTACGGAGGTGACGGCGGTAGTTGCTCCGGACTGAGAAGTCCCGGTTGCATCGAGGGACGGGGCACTTGAACGCTGTGCGCAGATTGACCGCGGTTAGAAAGAGGGAAGGAGGCCTCTCGAATTATTCCAATCACTCACGCCGCTGACCGTTATGTACGGTCATATGGGTTTCTAAACTAGCTCGACGCTCCTGCAAAATTTCCAGTCAGGAAATATTCCTCTGAAGCAAAGGCGCGTGCTAAAATCGACTTACGAATGATTTGCTGCATATCTGGAAGCATGAGCCAAAGCACCCGGAAAAATAGATTTGCCGTTAGAAAAGATAGACGAAGAGCTGGCGTAAGGTCTCACCTCGCAGACGTATTTCTTAGGTGCTGGTGCAGCGACGGATGCCATCAGCACGTTCCACAAGTTCTTCGAAAGCAGGACGTCGGGTTGGCCGTTGTTCACCGGGTTCACTGGCCGCGCTTGCGGGGGCTGCACTATCCTTGGGACCGTCTCGTTGGATGTGATTGGCCGTTGGTACTGATTTTCTAAGTGATAGGAGCCCGTTTCTCGTGAAGGACCTGGCAGAGGAGACTCCAACGAGCGCGGCACATGCGAATGAAAGACATGATCGGTCGGGTATTGCGCGGGAGGCGGTAGGACAGGAATTCCGGGAAGATAAACATGACCCGAGCGCTGGGGTACGAGGTCGATTGCAGCGGGTTCGGGGGTGAGCGGTAGGGATGGCGAAGCGAGAGCCGCCAAGGACGGCAGGAGCCCTGCTGGTTGTAACAACCCATGCAGAGGAGGAAGTATAGATGCCGCTCCGCCCTCGTCTGCCAAAGTCACCGACGAAGCGTCCTCCTCTAGCTTGATGACCGGCCTAGGGGCATCCTGAACCGGCACGGTGGGGACGCTTTTGAGCTTAGGGAACGCATCCGACGGCTCGACGAGCCACTGGATGCCATCCGTACAGACCATCCGCGGATCTTGATCGCGTACAAATGGCTGGATGGGGAATCCCAGGTTAGGGCCTTCTTCGTTCTCTCGGACGAGCTCGAGATGACTGTCGATGGTGGGCGACGTGCCAGCCAGGCGGAAGGTGCAAAGCAGAGGTGCAGGCATGGTAGGGAAGAGGAACGCAGGCGTTCTCGGGGGCACTGGTGTTTCGGGATTGCCGTCGTCCGCGACAGGGGGAGGACGTTGGCGGTGGGCTACGTGAGCGTTGAGTCTCCAGGTGAAAACCATATGCTTGATGCCGGCGAGAATCTCCCTCCTCGGACGGCGGGGCGGTCTAGTAGGCGCGGCGGGGAAGGTAGAGAATGGCGTCGCGTATGGCGACCCGAGGGTGGCTTCGGGCCTGTCGGGACCTGGACATCTTGCGGTGAGCTGCATGCTGGAGGAATCGCCGAGAGTAGATATGGCGAGACTTTCGGAATAAAGAGGAGGAAGTTGAGTGTTCACTTCAGTCTGGATGGGAAGGGGGAGGGTGGACGGGTGCTGAACAGGCTGAATCGAGCCCAATCGTCCCATCGGCTGGCTCTGGTTTGACCAGACGTCACCTAAGGGAACCGGAGGAGTGATAGCAAAGCTCATTCTAGGACTAGCGTCTCGAGAGGGAAGCGGTGCGCGATTCAGTGCGTCCGAGACGCGAAGGGGAAGCGAGCCAGGGTATTGAGCTGCAGGAGTGCACTCGTGAGGCCTCGGACGACTATGTGATGCGGACTGAAAGACGAGAGGAGCATTGGGAATACTTGGGTGGGAGCGAGGAACTGGATAAGATGGTGCTGGGAGCCTGAGCGGGTCATGGCCAAGGAGCGATGGTTGATAGGCAAAGAGTCTTTGCTGCCGCAGCGCGTCTGATCTGCCCGGTTCTTGACGCCGATACCCTGCTCCGTTACTGACGCCTTCACTGTCGCCAGAGGACTGTCCTTCTCCCGTCAAAGGTTGATACGGAGGTCGGTAATGATATGGAGGCTGCATTGAAGGACAAAAAGGCTTGGGCGGCTCGAGAAATCGGGCAGTCTTGAGTTCAGTGGAGAGGCGAGCAATCTTTAAGACGAGTAGAATAGGGTGCGTCAGAGACTTCTGGAGCATTCAGGTTAGCCGAGTCCCAAAAGGGAGAACCTCTGTGGCTGGTTTGACATGGAGACGACGAGGTACTCACAATTTCGCTGACCGGCTTCGATCCAGGCTCTTGGATACCGCGACGTTGTGAGAGTTTGACCACGGTATGGGGAGGTACAAATGTGTGGATAGGAGGAAGGGTCCTGGAAGCCCTTAGGAGTTGAACGGGCGAAGATAAGTGGATGGACGATGGAATGGGTGGAATACTTGGGCTTCGGCTGGAAGTCGAGGTAGTTCCATTCAATATTAGTATCTGACACATCGAACGATTTGGAGCAGATGATTTGAGTAGATGTGTAATATGGAGCCTCGAGTACAACGCGAGGACTTGAAACGATGGGGGACCGGTCAAAGCAGAGAGATATCGCGGTCTCCCCAATGGCAGCATTTAAGACCCAGTGACTTCGGGAATCCGGCAATGCAACCTGAGATTGAGGCCGATGCAAAAGTTGCAAAAGTCTGGCTTCTTGATGAGGACTTGTTTCATCTAAATAGGCATCGCCTGTTGCTGGAAACAAGTGACCGGTCGGCTGCCCTAAAACAACATATCAATTGTAGTATCTCATGAGCATACCATGTTAAATAACGTAAAAGACACATTCAGCTTCTAAATAGTCAATAGTGCTCCGGGAGAATCGTTTGAATGTCCAGTGGTCTCCACGAGTCAACTCGAAACGCCCGACATGGCGGGAACCATGCTTAGTCGATCGACCTCGAGACATAAGAGGATATGCCAGCTTACAGCGCCCGTCTCGAAACTCAATAAACTGCCATGTTAGGACAGTAGAGCCCCCCGCGTTTGTCGCAAATCCGTCTGTAGGCGCATAGGCGGCATTCCGGTGTCCGAAGCTCCTGCCTAAAGCGGTGGTGCTTCGACCTGGGATCTGAGTAATCGCTCGATCGAGATGGACAAGGACCCAGAAGATCGAAAGAAGTCGGCTCAGGGGACTGGTACACCATATCACAACATACTTAGGGACGTGTCGGTGGAGCTGAATGCGAACTGACCAACCTGCCCGCGCGATCCCCGGCCCAGCAAAGGTGGACCGATCAATCGCGTTTCTGCGACTGGTGAGGGTCTCCGACAGAAGATATCTGAAAGACTGGCGTACAAGGGTGCGTTTTTTGCTTCCACTACTTCTGGGACTAAGCAGACCTCCAGGCCTTTCTCATCTGAAGAAATAGCTTCCACCAAGGATGCGACGTCCGCTCGCTTGCTTTCACGACTTCTGAAAGACACTCAATTTCTGACCGGAAGCTTCTTATCGGGGGGCGCCCTACTTTGTCTACCTCGAGATCTTACGTTTGAGGGACCACTCTTGCCAAAAGCGGAATTTTCGCATGCCCATCTGGCTGAAATTTCAAGCCTCTTCAGCCGGTCTCCTCAGGCATGGAGACTCCTTTGGCCGATGGCCGACAGCTGAACCGTCCCAGAGACACA